GCCATGAACACACTTGGGCTTCATTCACACAATGTGCCATTAGATGCTTTCATATGCATTTAAAGTATTATTAAACAATCTGAATTCATTATTGAAACAAATATACGTTGCCCAGCAAAGTATTTCGATACATTTTTTGCCCAAACACTTCCATTCATGTTTCCAAACAGCTCCAGCTCTCTCAGCTTGGCTTCCTTGAACTTCTTTAGTAGAATCATTGATTAAAGACTATTGACTCTCTAACAACCAGATACTACAGTTATCTGTCATCTACCGATCCCCATGGGTGGCGGATAACTGGGAGTTTACTGTAGCTTAAAACCCTTATGACTTTAATATTGCTGTAAAAAGCTTTTGTAAATGCGTATATATGCAACTAATGAGTTCCAAGACCCCATTCACACTGAGCTATAACAAAATAAGCGCTTTTTCAGCGCTGATCGACTTTGAGCAACAGTGCTAATTTTGTTGCGCTACGTAGCACTTCTTTTGGCAGTCTATCAAAGTCTATTGGGGCCAGGGGTGTAACTAGAAATCACAGAGCCCCATAGCAAAATTTTGTATTGAGCCCTGTGATTTCTAGTTACGCCCACCTGATAACCCAAACAACCCACCTGAGAGTGACCCTGCAGAGCCCACCATAGACTCTCTATGGTGGACTCTGCTGAGTCTCAGGTGAGCTGGTCAAACCATCTTACCTTTCAGCCCCGATCACTCTCCGCCTCTACCTAGTCCGTCGCTGGGCCCCACCTCCTCCATCGCTGGGCCCCGCCTCCTCCAAGACGACGCCGGACCCAGCCTCCTCCGCAGCTGCTGGCTGTCGGTGACTCGGCAGCAGCTGTGAGGAGGAACACGGCGCTGCACACATCACTGACGGGTTGTCAGTGATCTGAACAGCGGCACGTTCCTCCTTACAGCCGCCAGTGACAGCCAGCAGCCTGAGATGCCATAGTAACCCAGGGCACGGCATCAGGGGGATGTCCTGGCCGGGCCCCATACCGGCCGCCTGGGTCACTATGGCGATTTGTTCCGCCACTGATTGGGGCTAAATCGCTCGAAATCTGCTGAAAAATAGCTCATATTCGAGCGACGAGCTTCAGCTACAGGCGACATTGAGCAGCAAGATGTGAACATCTCCATTGAAATGCATTGGGAGAGCTACATTGAGCTTTATATTTGAGCAATTTGTAAAAATTTTTTTGTAGCGGAACTATAAAACGCTCAGCGTGGGGTCTAAAGGGTATATTCACACCTTGCATCTAGATGTGTAGAGGTGTATCTAGGTACTGATTTGAACTTCTAAATGCAACTAAACGCGTTTTGATGCGGGGATTTGGTGCTAGATGCATCTAAACACATATGCATGTAAACACGTGTTATTTGAAGCATCTGGAAGCATAAACACATGGAAAACACAAAAAAAAGGATAAAGCGCACTCCTGTGGGCAAACTTCAATTAGATGGCTGTTGTTTGTAGGTGTGCAAAGCTCCTCACTACGGGGAGAGGACCCTGTCTATTCACAACTGCAGATAAAAGCAAAAAGGACAGGAGCGCAACTACCAGAAGTGACGTGAATGGAATCGATTTGGCCTAGTGGATCTATGTGATAAGGGATGTTGGTGGATCTTAGTGTGTAGAATCTGGGTGTATGCAGTAATGTTATGGCAAACAGACTTACGGTTGGAAGCTTCCCCGTGGTCCGTGTGGCGCCCTCCTTTGACAGATCCTGGGTCGAAGAGCCCCGGTGGTGTGAGAGGCTGATCTGTTGGGGGTGCGTGTCCGTATGGCCGCCCGCGTTCTCGGCTGGCCGAGCCGCGTCGGTCAGGAACGGAGAAAAAAAGTGGGAGGAGCTATACCCGGCTAGGGAACACCGTGCGCCGTGTGTCAATGTTGATCACAGAGTCTAAGACTGTCGGGTGTCTCCAGTGGCTACGCGTTTCGAGGGTTAACCTCTTTTTCAAGCCTCAAGAAGCATAAACACAACATCTAGCCTGACAGATTTTCCTCTCCATATAGACCACAAAAATGCTATTGGCAAGTGTGAACGAAGCCTAAGGGTCTGATTTATAAATGTTGGGGTGGGTGATGTTTGCACGGCACTAGCACCACTAGATGGTGCTAAGGAGCATAGACATTTCCTATCCTCTATCTAGGGACACTGGTGCCGAATGAGCAGAACATTCATAAATCAGTCCCTAACTGTCACCCTAATAGAGGAAGTTTAAGGGTAAATAACTTTCCCCCTCCTCATCTCCATAACATAGAAATAACTTTTCCCCATCTCCATAGCATAGTGGGGACGTGTTCTGTAGTTCATAGATGAGTGCTGTACAGAGCTGAGATCACTGGGACTGCAGACTGCACAAGACAGCACTAGATTTCTGTCAGGATCAATTGGTGTTTTTGCACTCTGGAAACTGATATCACAAAATCCTTTCCATGGTATAACAGACCAAAAGGGAGCAAATGAAAAGTTAATTGTTGGGGTTTACATGCACTTTAAATTTCAAGTGATGTTTAGATCTTGCTCAGTTGCTATTTCAGAGTACTTCTGCAGTGCAGAATAGAGATTAAAGGTGACCTATTCCTATCCAAATAAATTATGCATGTATATAAACACAAATACATTGGGACCAGTGCACCATCCCTTGCATTACACTAATGAGCCTGCTGAAGGGTTGGCACAGTTCCTGGCACTGCTGCGGGTTCAGCTCTAGTCTTCACGGACCAGGCAGATGGTTCATACTCACTAGCCAAGCACGTTCATCAGAGAGCAGTCGCTTTCATCTCCGATTTGTCTCCCTTTCCTCCGAAATTCCTCTTTAGAAACGGTCGTGTCAGCCTCCAGTGTGGAGCCGGCTCCTGGTTTTACTGGACAAGACTTCCAGCTGTCCAAACCCTTCCAGCGTGCTTGGCCCCCGTGTCATCCGATCGTCACCCTGTCAGAAATAACCTGGGCCGTTGCCTTCTCTGACGCTTCTTGTCCTACGCCCTTTCTCTGTTGGCTGACCCCCTTCAAGCTGAGACCACCATGTCTGGGTTCCTGTGCGGAAAACGCAAGAAAGAGGCGATCGGCGCTGGTGAAAATAAGACAGGTCTGGTTATGGGATTGGGGGGTGGGGGGGGGGGGTAGTCCACTCTGGGGTTTAGCCAAGTTCTGGCCAAACTTTTTGTTTTGGCCAAACTTTTTGTTTTGGAAGGAGATAGTTGGAACGACTGTAAAGTTTTTATTGTGGTCTGTGTCTCTTCTGGGGAGAGTCACCCTCTCTCTGTTCCTCCCGGTGCCCATTGTTAAAAATGTGCTCAACATTTTAATGTCACCAACACAGGAGGTAGGGGGAATCTTCCAAAGGAGGCACCTGGGTCTCCCTTCACTTTTTCTGTCTCTTTTTTTGCCCAACATACACAGTTGGCAAAAAAAAAATCTTACAGGGGTTCTAACCAATCCTTACCCTATCCAAAACTAAATAACATTTAATGGTCACATGTCTATTGTTGAGGAAATTCTGTTTCTACAAGGACTAGAAAGCTGCTGAGTAACACATGGGATGTCTTGACTTGCCTTGCAGCTCTGAGTCCTGGCTTTAGATCCCAACAGAAATGATTTGAGCATGAGGTTTGCCTGTTCTTGCTGTCGTTCCTTTGGTTTCTTTTCTATGGGAACAATGATAGGGGGGCTTATGTGTTTGGGTTTCCTCTGGGCATGTTAGATGCAACCAAATCGCATTGGATCGATCGGTTCTATACATTTATATGTATGCGGCAAGTTTGTTAAGCCCAAAAAAAAAGACAGATCTAATAAATACCCAGATTAATAGAGCTCTGTTCTCATTCATTCATTATTTAAATGTATTTTTTTTTTTTTATGCAAGCAATGTATATTCCTAAATTTGGCTTGGTGCCCGCTTCTTGCAGTCCATGTACAGCAGTATTTAAGGTGCCCACACACCTTGCTATAATGGTACGATAATCGCGGGAAATCCCGCGATCGTACGATTATCGTAAGGTGTGTGGAAGCTGTGGGACCTCTACTACTTACGAACATGTTCGAAAACCCGCCCATAATCGTAAGATTTTCAGCGGGTGTGTAGCATGTTTGTAAGATAAAAGCCAGACGGGCCGGTGTGCGCAAGCGCACACTGCCCGTTCGGCATTGCGCTCAGTGGGGCAGGCTTGTGATCATCGCAAGTACAAGCTGCCTGTCCAAGATAGGCAGATCCTACGTTTTTTTAAATTACCTTACAACCATCGCAAGACAAAAGTCTTGCGATGGTTGTAAGGTGTGTGCCCAGCCTTAGACTGGCAGAAGGATAAGCAGCACAAGGAGCACATAGCAACTGCTGACAGGAGCAGAGAGCAGGGTGACTGAGAGAGGAGCTATTCCATTTTCTTCTTCTCCTTTTACTTACCAGACACAGGCTGGTGGGAGGGAGCAAAACCTTGAAGTGGTACAAAACTGCAGTTGAGAAAAATCAGATCTCCTGCCCTCCTGCACAGGGCTGTGTGGCATAGCTATGTAAATCTCGGGAATGGACTGACAGTAATACAAAACTTTTGGCAGTTAAAGCAGCTCTCCTTTATTTCATCTGTGTGCTTAGCTGTTTGCTTGGAGTCCAGCTTTAAAGCCCATGACAGTTTCTTCTATCTTTTGGGGACTTTATTGGTGAGATTCATGTGTCTGCACACCGGCTGTTGCCATTCAGGCATCTCAGTGTTAGATGTTGGTGGATGGGCTGTATGGTTCAAGTGCTGCATGGTGTAGGAACAGGATATGTTTTAAGGGTTCACTTCAAGGGTTAAATCTCGTTACTACCCATTACCTGAGACATGCAAAAAAATGAGCATTAGACCTGGCACACATCTCGTATTTTGTGTTCTTCAGTCTGCATTGCTAGTGGTAACCAACAAGTTTCCTAGCACTGCCTTGTGATGTTTTAGCCTGTGACAAATGAACAGCATTGATGGTGGTTATGATTGCATTTGTTTTCTTTCTTTGCAGTGACTGATCTCCAAGAAGAAGGAAAAAATGCCATCAATGCGCCAATGTCCCCCACTCCTATTGACATCCACCCGGAGGACACCATGCTTGGTACAGTATTTATCTCAAATATTGACCCTGCTCATCTATGTATATGGTTACTTTTCTGCCGGCTCAGCATTTGTGTTGGACCCTTCTTCCTAAAGTGTATACCGGTATATGGCAAAGTAGAGAAGGGTTAAAACTCCCGTCTGGGTTTTTTTTTTGTGTGTGTGTGCTGTAATTTTCATTATTTCAAAATCCCGGGCGCTAGGTAGCCACTGCTCCTTTAAATAGTACATCTGCCCCCTAACTTTTAAGGTTTTCTTGCGTTGTTGCCAATGGAGCCAATTCCTAGAAACAAATCCTGCTGAATCCTGGATTGGACAAACTAAAACATTTTAATTTGTTTTGGATAGAGTAGAAAGGGTTAGCTCGGGGGTAGACAAAACTTTTTGCCAAGACACTTTAAACATACTAATCAAGCAGTTTGCTGCAAGTCAGGAAATGATATGTTATACCTGTTTACCAGACATGGTTATTTTTCTATAAGAATAGAAACCCTGACTCTCGGTTAAGAGTCCAACTTAGGCTGATGTCACACGAATGGTCCTGGATTGCTAACATATCACTTACCTTTTGCTATGGAGTCGCTCTCTCGTAGGCTGGACCAGCAGGATGTTGGACCTGCTCTAGTGAGTGAAATTTTGCAGCTTTCATGTCAGCGAGGTAGGGGCTCCATAGGGTACAATTGAAGCCTCTCCTCTGTTATTCTGCCGGTGTAAAATCAACGTCTGCAGCAGAATCACCCATTTAACATGGTCCATACAGTGACCATTTTAGGATGCCCACCCTACATGGTGACTTTCTCACTGTCGGCTATTGCAGTTAATAGTGTTGGAGAGGAGAGGCTGGGAAGAAGCCTAATGTGCAGGGAGGTGAGTTTGTTGGGAGGAATAGAATAGGTTTATGGAAAGGCTGATGTAGATCAAAGGTATGTTGTAGCAAAGTTTTAAAAATGGACTCCCTAGTCCTGACTTTGAAACAGACATTTCTTTGGAAGCAGGGAGCTCTGAAAACAGCACTGTCACCCTGCTGAAGGAAGTGGAAAATCAATGAATCTGCACAATGTATGTCCTATTTTATTTTTTTTCTTTAACCATAGATTTTTGCCAAATCACAGGGTCACTTAACACCAGGCAACCTTTCACATAGGAGATAATTAATTGGGAAGTTTTGAAAACGTCAAATTGCTATTGCTCCACCTGGATATCCCACATGCATACAACAAATGGTGCTCATGCCAGTCATAAATGCTCAAGAATATGCTCAGAACCAGCCAAAAGGACTACCACCAACACTTCCTGCATGTGACATATGGGGTTTTACACCCCTATATATTATTTGAGGTCTATGCCCCCCATTTATAGTAGGCAATGTTGATAAATGATTGCTGGGGGGGTTACTATACACCATTACCGTTTTAGTATATAATCAGTCCAGCCATAGTTCTGGAAAATCATCCCTCAGATAAACCTGATGACCTTCCATGAGCTGGAATGTGTCACCTCCTCAGTGCATGACTATATTCCAGAGGAACTAATCCATTTCCCCTAGTATGTCTATAAATTTCATGACTGTGACTATTCATGACTACTGTCATGTCTCTGACTGCATCTATATCTCATTACTTCTCAGAGGAGAACGAGGAGAGGACCATGATCGACCCCAATTCCAAAGAAGACCCCAAGTTTAAGGAACTGGTGAAGGTAAAAAAAAAACTGAATCAGCTTTGTGGATTTGGTTGGCTTTTAGGGTCTCTTCACGCCATTACATGCTTTGTAGCATACCTGAACCCAAGATCACAAATTGAGTCAGCTGCAGCTTGCCCATCCTCAGATGTGCTGGCTGCATTACATTTCTTTTTTTCAGGTCTACTTTCCTTTATTTTCAAGTGGTGATCCTGCGAATAACACACTTTCTGTCCTAGAGAGACAATTCACTACACTGTATCTATTGAGAAGCAGCTTTGTCTCCCTAGGACAGGACTTATCTTCCCCAAACCCTAAAAGGGAGGGGTTATGTAGTCATTAAAACTAGCTAGGAAAAATGCTAACTGATAACAGTTAACACAGGCTCAGGATGGGATCGGGAAGGAGTTTTTTTCCCTCTGTTGGAGCAAATTGAACCATGCTTTTATAGGGTTTTTTTGCCTTCATCTGGATCAACAGGGGGCAATTGTGGGCATAGTGTTCTGTTTATGCTTTTCTTCTTCCCTTTAAAAAAAAAAAATATATCTCTATAGGTTGAACTCGTCGGACATGTGTCTTTTTTTTCAACCTGGCTAACTATGTAACAGGCAGAGTGAAGTGCAGCTTACAGCACATCTATACATTTGGTGCACCCAGGTGTGTTTTTTTGTTTCTATTTAAAGCCCAACACCAACAAAAACATGTTGTCATTTTTGGATGGAGCATCTGTCAGGGAATTTACATTCCGTGTCCCTGTTGGGATAATTCTCCTGATGGGAAGTAATAGGGTATTTCTAAGTGGGAGGCAAAAATGCATGTTTTAGTATGGAATGGTTTAAAGTCTGGCAATGTTTTTATGGCTGTGTGTACCTTCCTCACCCAGTGTTGACTAGGACAGGAAGTGAGGGAAAAGCTCCCCAATGAATTTAAACAGAAGTGCCTGGAATAAATATTTAAAGTGACAGTAAAGTCAGGAGTTGAATCTTAAACATGTATTCATGTACCACAACTATTAACCCAAATGTACCTTATTTGTGTATCACTCGGCTGTAGATCCTCAAATCATCTCTGAATTGGTGCCGACACTGTCCTTCCTTCTGGAGGGTGGCTACTTTTGTTACCCAAGGTCCCTGTAGACACCGCTCCAAGCTCACTTCTATGATGGACTACAATCTCATGTTTAGTTTGCTAATTTGTATTGAGATTGTAGTCCATCATGGGAGCGAGCTTGGAGCGGTGACTACTTTACAACACACACAGGGACTATGGTTAACAAAAGTAGCCACCCTTCAGAAGGAAGGACAGTGTCGGCACCAATTTGGAGATGATTTGAGGATCTACAGATGAGTGATACACAAATAAGATACATTTTTGTTAGTAGTTAAGGTTCTTGAATGCATTTTTAAGATTTAACTCCTGAGTTTAGAGTCGCTCGAACCACTTCAGATCTCCTACCCCTTTTGATCCCAAGCTATTTTTACATTTCTGTTAAAGTGTGTTTCCACTTTTCCGGTTAAATTGGGATAACACCTATTTTATATTTATTACAGGTTCCTATTTGTATAACATAACGTTAGGAGAAAAATATAAATTGTAGCCTGCCATTTTACTTGCTCTTTTCAGAAAACTCCCATACCGAAGTTTTTCCATTTTCTGTAATTTCAAAGAGGGGAAAGGGGAGGTAATGTTCACCATATTTATCTCGGTCTGTATTAGAAAGATCTCATTTTGTCTTGGAGACAGACTCGCTTACAAATTATTCAGAGTAGCTTGCAGTCTGCCCAAAGGCCTCCTCCAAAGAAAAAGATCTGCAAAGTCAGAAATATTAAAAAAAAATAATAATTTAGGGTATACTGTGTGAATGGGAACACATAGAAAATATAGAGGGGTTTTCTCAATTTTCTTTCTCTTTTCACCATTGTTTTTTTTTTTTTCCTCTCGCCCACAGGTTCTTATAGATTGGATCAATGAGGTTCTCGTCGAGGACCGGATTATAGTGAAGAACCTGGAGGAAGACTTTTATGATGGACAAGTCCTGCAGAAGCTATTAGGTATTAACAGGGCTATGTAAGCTCTGTAACATTAAAGGATAAGTTCACCTTTTGCAAAATTTAAAGAAATGCATAATTGATGTATAAAAAAATATGCATTTCTTTAATATTTGCATTCAAGCCTGGAAAGCATTGCAATCATGATCACTCGATCACAGCTGCAAATCTCAGGCTTCTTCACATTTCTCTCTCTAGGTAGATGCGGGGACTGTATGCAAATCATACAAAAATTCATTTTTTATTTTATATTAATAATTATGCATTTCTTTATTTTTTGCAAAAGGTGAACTTGGTCTTTTAAAGCCCATCTCCAGGCCAAACTAAAAAAAAGTACTCTTGCAGTGGGGCTACCTCCTCAATGCAAGGGTTATGTGCTTGTTTTTGTCTAAGGGAGCTTTACTTACCTGGTCTCGCTTCCGTCAGTAGCCTCAGGGCTGCTAGATCAGTCCCTGCAGGCTCTTCTCCCCTTTGCATCGGTGGTCTAAGGTCCACTGATGTCATCACATACAATGTAGGTTCTAAAGAGCTGCATTAGACATGAGGATGCCGAGGGACATGCCACAGCACTGAGCGGAGGGAGAGAAGAGGAAAGCGCTGACCACTGGGGGAGTGTGGGGAAACGAGCACTTAACCTTTGCAGTGCCATGGTAGCCTCACTGCAAAAGCACTTTATTTGCATGGGGATGGACTTTAATATCCGTGGAGGATTATTGTTACAGATGCCTGGGTAGAAGGGTGTTTTTTCTCTTTTTTTGGGGGGGGGGGGGTTCTTTTAAATGTTGCCTGTAATTATTGTTTGCAGTCTTTTTTTTTCTACCGTGGGTTGTTTTTGCTGTTAGAAACATTTTATTACTGCTTTTTTTTTTTCCTGTGGGCGATACAGTTTGATTATATTCTGCAAAGCCGACAACAATTTTTGGCTGAATTCTGCAAATCTTTCTACTTCACTTAATTATTGCTGAGAGTATGTAAACGGAGGCTGTCCTCAGGCATCAGAGGATTGGGGGGGGATGTGCACGGTACAACTATCCTCAGGCTACAATGACAACAGATGGTGGCATAAAACTGCCAGCCTGGCGTGACTGAACTTGCATTTAAAGTGACTCTAAACCCAAGAGCAAAAATGTAGTCTATATTGCAGCTTCGCAGTCCTTCTATTGTGACTGCATTTGTTTTTCTTTTTTCAGGAGTTTTTTTACATTTTTTTCCTTCGGTAAAGCTGCCAATAACACATCTTCTGTCCTAGTGTGACAACACTTACTCATTCTATTGTATCTATGACACCGTTGTCACCCTAGGACGAAATTAGAACTACAGAACCCACCATATCCGTAACATAAGGGGCAGGTAATTGGTAGTCCAGAGAAGTGAACTGGGCACTGCTTAAAGTGACACTAAACTCAGGACATAAACATAAAAAATGCATTCAATACTTTAACTATTAACAAAAATGTAGATTATTTGTGTATCACCCGGCTGTAGATCCTGAAATCATCTCTGAATTGGTGCCGACACTGTCCTTTCTTCTGGAGCGTGGCTACAACACACACAGGGACCATGGTGAACAAAAATAAAGTAGCCACCACTCCAAGCTCTGTCCCGTGATGGTCTATAATCTCAATACAAATTGGTAAACTAAACATGAGATTGTAATCCATCAAGGGAGTGAGCTTGGAGCGGTGGCTACTTTAGGACCACGGAGTACAGAAGTAGCCACCCTCCAGAAGGAAGGACAGTGTCGGCACCAATTCAGAGATGATTTGAGGATCTACAGCCAAGTGATACACAAATGAGGTACAAAGATGCTGGCTTATCATGGGAGCTTTCACAGCCCATATTACTATCTACTAATCCAGTTATAGTTGTCACCTTCTCCGTGTCACAAATGTAACCAGTCTAAAGGGTAACTCTCTTGTTTTGTTTGGCTCTGTATGTTTTTTGTCTTCTTTGGGAGTTCTAAGAATAAGCAACTTCATTTTTTTGCAGAAAAACTCGCTAATTGCAAGCTGAGTGTGGCAGAGGTGACGCAGTCTGAGATTGCACAGAAGCAGAAGCTGCAGACCATCCTAGACGATATCCAGGAGTTTTTAAGGCCGCAGGGGTGGGCAATACGATGGAATGTGGACTGTAAGTCTGATTGGGTTATCGGGTCTAGAACAAAGATTTACCTTCCTGATTCTGGCAGGTTTAAGAGGAATTTGCCAAAAGTTTCCTAAATGCGCTAAAATGAACATGGATAATCTGGTATGAGCTTGGAATGTAAACCTTTGTCTGTAAAAATTCCAGGTTCTCGCATGTGTGACACCCTGGGTTTCAGAAGTAAAGCACTTTAGTTTTTGGAATGAGGCTTTCAGCATAACTAACATTCCTAAATCTTCTCTAATCATCCAAAAAGCTACAACTACAGTAGTTTTCATTTTTTTTCTTTTAATTCCTCCACCCCCCCTAAGTGCTGCCCACCTTACTTTTCCCTTCAGCCCACCTCCTGCAAATTTCTCTGCATTGTCCCACTTGGAACCACACAGCCAAAAATTACTGCTTCATACTGCAAATGCTGCAGCCCAATCCATTCCTAAGGGGAAGGCGTAGTCATGGCGGCCTCAAGCTGTTGCTCAGAGTACGGCTTTACCATAGGAATGAATAGAGCCGCAATTCGCATTTGTAGTACTAAGCGGCCATTTTCGGGGGAAAGTCTGTGCAGCTTGGAGTGGAGCTGGACAGTGAAGATCTCTGGATTAACTTAACCCTTTCCTATCTAAACACTGAAACCTGAAGTTTCATCTGCTTATATTTTTGGTTTCCTTGGTTCCCTGCTCATCAATATGATGACTGGAAATCCCCTCTTAGTTGACCCTAATATTTTGTTCTGATGACAGTGGTCACCAGGACAAAGACAGAGGGTAAATCTTTTCACCTAAAACACAGAATGCAATACAAAAAGATAAGGTAAGCCAATACTATGGGGCACACTGACTCTGGTTAGGTAGCTCTCTAACAAGAACAAGCCTCAAACGGGACACTATAATGTGTAGGAAGAACAAGAGTGCCACATCAAAGGTTTAGAAGCCCAAAAGTGTTTAATCAGAGAAGTCCAACGAAAACAAGCCAATGCGTTTTCAGGGCGATTTTATCAGGGGTACCCATCCAATTTGAAATCGACATTTAAACTACCCTGCATCTAAATAACCCTTAATAAATTCCTACAAGTCCAACACTTAATTCAAACCAGCAGGTATTAGCTAACTCGATTTCTGGCAGGATCAACGGGTATTTGTATGCACTTATCGGACAGAGGTGACAAAGCACTTTGGCATATTTAAAAGATCAAAAAGGAACAAATAAGAGAAGACAAGTTATGTCAGGGATTCCATAAACCTTAAGGACAGGTTGAAGTCTGTTCAATATTTGTCTGCCAGTGCATACAGGGACTCAGGGCACACTAAACTGAATAGTTGAGGTGTCATACAAACATTCAGAGTTGCCACTGGAAGGTCACTTAAAACTGGACCTATCATTAAAATCAGATTTTTAGGACCAACAGTTTGTGCAGCGCTTTACAAAATGGAGGCAGACAGTACAGTTTCAATACAGGAGGTTTAGGAAGGCTCTGCTCGTGAGGGCTTACATTCTAGTAGAAGGGGTAAGGTAATAATTGTGGGAGGAACTGACTGAAGAAGTAAAAGGACAGTTAATACATTGAGGTGAGATTGGCTTCCTTAAAGAGGTGAGTTTTTCAAGTGTCGCCTAATGGTGGACAGATTGGGGTACGGAGGTCCAGAGGATGTGAGAGGCTCTGGAGAAGTCCTGGAGCATGGGAGGAGGTGATGAGGAGCTGGAAAGTAAGAGGTCTTGAGAGGAGTGGAGAGGGTCGTTTGGGTGATATTTTGAGATGAGGTTGGTGATGTAGTTTAGGGCAGAGTTGTAGAGAGCTTTGTAGTATTTTTAATTTTATACGTTGAGCTATTTGAAGCCAGTGAAGTGATTGGCGAAGAGGGGCAGTGGACACTGAATAGTCGCTAAGGTGGATGAGTCCTGGCAGCAGCATTCATGATGGACTGAAGGGGGATAAACCTGTGTTGAGGCAATCTAACAAGAAGAGTTGCAAATAGTTGAGGTGACATAAAAGCTTTGTGGTGTCCTTTGTTAAAAAGGGGCACGTTTTGGAAATGTGTCGGAGGTTGAGTCAGCAGGATTTGGATAGTGATGGGATGTGACCTGAAAGGAGAGCTCAGAATCAAGGATTACACTGAGCACCCTGGCTTGATGGGAGGGGTTGATAATCATGCTCTTGGTCATGATGGAGAAGTCAGGGCAGAGGACATGGGAGGAAATATTATAAGCTCAGTTTCGGACAGGTTGAGTTTGAGGAAGTGTGATATCCATGTTGATATGTCAGTGAGTAGATTTGTGATGTGTGAGAAGACAGAAGGGGTGAGCTAAGGAGTGGAGAGATTGATTTGGTTGTCATTGGCAAAGAGATGGTGTTAGAAGCTGTGGGAGAGTAGGAGATAAGCAGACAGATTGGGGTAGAGTTCCAGAGGATGGGAAATCAAATTTATATTTTTGATTTAAAAAGTACCTCTTTATGCCATGGATAAAAAAAAAACTTGTGCTAAGCTTTGCCATGTTATTGATAACCTAGACTGTGATTACCTGCTCTCTGACTACCCGGAGCATCATGGGTGTTTGCATTCACTGAAAACTGTATACAGTCTATTGTTTTCACACCGACCTTTCTCTTTTTAAGCAAAGTGATATTTTTACATTTGTTTCTGACATGTGTTGTTTTTTTTTTTTCTTGTATCTTTGCAGCTATTCATGGAAAGAATTTGGTTGCCATTTTGCACCTTTTGGTGGCCCTGGCTATGCATTTTCGGGCTCCAATTCGACTTCCTGAGCACGTGTGTGTACAAGTGGTGGTGGTAAAGGTAATTAACTGCCTGAAATGTATTATTGAGATTATGTAATAAAACATGGTTACCACAACCATGGCTGATGTAGTACACGGAATACTCTGCAGTATGCTCAGCCTCTTCTCTTCTATAGTAGATCTGAATACATGTGCTATCCAGCTATTTCTTGCTTTAATTTTCTAACATAATATAAAATATTCTGAAGAACTGCACAATTTCATGTTAATTGTTTGGCCCTTTGCAAAAAATGAAGTTGTCTCTCTGCCGAGGTCCAAAATGCCTTGGCTGAATCAGAGCTAGAACTCTCCAATCAGCAGAGAGCATGAGCTTTGCTGATTGCAGAGCTGGAAGTCTGACTTGGCAAGGGTTGTGCTGGAGGGGAGACCATTGCTTCCACGCAGAGAGCAAGGATCTTTCTCTGCAGCATGCCGACAGGGGCTTATCTACTCCTGTTGTGGCTGCTTTCTAAAGAAAACAAACTGTAAGAATTTGCACACCTCGAATTTTAATTTGATGCATCTGGAATGTATGTTGCCAGTGAAAGCTCAGTCGGGCTGTATTGCGTCCATTGAAATGGTTTACGGTTTACTTTACTTGCTCACAATATAGAGGACAGTTAAGAAACATGAAGGCTTCTGACTATGCTTGCTGCCTGGCTGAAATGCTCACCTCTGAGTCACTGATCTGGAACAAATATGCAGCTCCAAAAAGCCATTTATTGCAGAATTCAGAATTCAGAATATAAATTTGTCTTTTATGAATTTGTTGCATTGTCGCTGAAAATTCGCTAGAGCACCACAAGATGGCAGCAGAGCTTAATTTTAGAATTCTTGACTGGTCCTGTTACAGTTCAGATGTTTACTTGATTTTCTAAATGAAGCCCCTTCTCCAGTTAGGGCCCATTCATACCAGCAAGCCACGCTAAACGCACAGCTACTCATGGGTGTTGGCAGACGGTGCGCCAATCACAGCAAATTGTACTGTTTACTGTACAGGGAGGGGGGGGAGGGGGCATGCAGCGTTTCTGCTGACTTTGAAAAACACTGATTGGAGTTATAAACTTGTGAATGAATGCGCCAAAAAGGACTAAACCACCAGTTTTCATCTCTGGTTGAGTTGTTTTTATTTTTTTCGGTTTTTTTTATTTGGCTTTTTCTAAACTTTTTTTTTTTTATGTGTCTAGGCATTAGTTGTACGTTTTTTTTTTATTTTTATTTTTTTAAATTTTTCCTCTTCCTATTATATGTCTTATGTTAGAAACGTGAAGGGATCCTGCAGACGGCCCATGTGACAGAGGAGCTGACCACCACAATGGAGTAAGTTTTGAAATTAACAGTTATCCTCTTCAAGGCAATCTATTCTCTCTATATCTTTTCTCTTTTTCCTGAAAGAGACATGGAGGCCACCATGCTACTTCTCATTATTCTAGTTTCCTGGCTCTCATGTTTACTTTGTTGCTTCAGTACTTCAGCCTGTTACCTGAAACATGTATGAAAATAAAGACCTGGATCAGTTACTCAAAATGTATTGAACCGAGGTGGTCAATGTACTAGCCAGACATCTAGCAGTTTCAGGAGGGGATTGGAAATGGCAGTTCCATGTGCCTCTCAAGAAGTGTTTATTTTCATGTTCCTTTCTAAGGCCCCTTCACACATGAGGCTTCCATTTTGCTGAACCTGATTGTGCTGGATCGGGGGTAATGTGATGGTGACACGTATGTCTACATCCGACTCCCCATAGACAGGCATTGGGTCCAGCAGTTTTAGTTCTTTCCTATATTTGTGTAATCCAGCGCACTCCTTACCTGAAGGTACATGGGTGCTGTAGTGAAATGACAGATGGTGCCCTCAAATACAAAGTCTGGACACAGGGGTATCACAGGCACACCATTGAAGAAAAGTGTAAGGAGGACATTTATTCATCGAAAGCAACGTTTAGGGGCTACTGAGAAACGCTATCTCTGGCAGGCAGTGACCACTGCTGCTTGAGGAAGAGGTCCTCGGTAGTTTTTAAAGGCCACTTTTCCTTTGGTAGTGAATAGATGTCCTCCTTGTAGTTTTCTTCAATGGTGTGCATGCGATTCTAAGACTACATTCAGTTGGGGCTTCCTGCTGCGGGAAGACATGATTCTTGCAACAGGAATCCCAGGTGTGTCCGTATAGATGCAGCAGATGTGCCAGGTCAAGTTAGTTACAGGTTAACATCGATCGCATCTCTATATCCACATGTAATTGTTCGTGGAATGATTACCTGTGGTTTGGGATAGATCTGGGGGGGGCCTCCAGCTGTTGTGGAACTACAAGTCCCATAAGACATAGCAAGACTGACAGTTACAGGCTTGACTACCTGATGCAGACACATAGATGAATGTCCCTGAACTCAGTCTGTCTCTGTACAGCTTCCTATAGAAGTCAATGGCTGTACCGGGGAGTACGCCAGTACTTGCATAAAACCGCATATACGTAGGGACTAAAATCCCTGGATGCAGACGACCTGCGTCCAGTGATCTAGGTCCATACGCAGCTGTGTACAAGTACTGACTTATACCCCTGTCCAGCCATTGACTTCTGTGGGAGGCTGTACACAGCACCTGTGGCTCCCTGATAGGGGGAAATATGCTGGGATTTACAGTAAGGGGGTACAGCTATGTTATGTGTATGAGGCCTTATAAGCAATACAGACAGTTCTCATGTTAGAAGCATCTGTCCAGCAGCTTCATATCCATATTGTACACCATGTACGATCTAAGCTCAGTGTCCCCAATGTCATCGTGATCTCTCTCTAGAACTCCGGCTCTTCTCTGTATTGTTTGTTACACAATAAATAATGTGAGCTTTGCTGTGACTGACAGGCTGAAAATGAAGGCCTGATGAGGCGGTGGAGCCATTGAGACATGACTAAAATATAATTGCTTTTTAACTAATCTCCAGCCAGCCGCAGCTCAGTAATAATGAGGATTTGATCTTCTGGTGTGAACTAGTTATGAGATCTGCAGGTTGCCAAGTGCTGCCGTGTTTGTCTTATCGAGTATGAGGTGAGGTCACAGCTGGATACTCGCAGAACACAGGCCCATCGTGACCCCAGCCTGCAAGGCACAAATAGTCTGGTCACTGACTGGTCAAGTTCGGGCCAACTGAGGTGTCTATAATTCTCCTACAGGCCCCACTTACTCTTTTTGGTAATGTAAAATGAAATAGCATGTGGAAAATAGTCAGACAGCCAGGGGACTAACTTTTTCTGGAGGCCAGCAATGGCAGCCCACATTATTTTCTTATTGACATGTGCCATGTCCAGCCCATTTAGTGATGCATTCAGATTTGTATAGGATCTTCCCCTAATGGCTGGCATTACATCCTCTGTTCTCTTCGACCTTTGTGCTACCACTCAGCCTGTTGTAGCTTAGACTGGTTATCCCTTCTTATGACCAGAGGTCTCCGCTTAAAAAAATCCACAACAAACAACCCGCAGATTCCCAAACCAGTTCTCTATTTCTAAGCCGGAATGGTGAAATGTGTTGACGATTGAGCACACATAGTGAGGAACATTTACAGTATGCATTTGCTCCATAAATAAAGACTTTTACTTATAGTGAAGACCCCCGGAGTGCAGCTATTTCTGGATTCAAAGGTCTCTGATGCCTGGAAGTTGAGACTAAAGTTGAGACTAAATGTAGCAGGGTCAGCATGTGTCATTCAGCAAAACCTTTTTGCTGAATTCACACCTGGGCGTTTTACAGCGCTTATCGAAGCGCTGTAAAACGCTCTAGCAGTGAAATCCCATTAATTCCAATGGGCATGGTTCCCACCTGGGCGTATATCAGCGCTACCCAACGCCCGAACTTCTTTACAGGAGCTTCTTTTGGGGCATTTTTGCGTGCATATCCATTAGGATACAGTCTGATAGATTTCATAAACGCGCGTTTCGTTGACCGCAAATCGCGGTAAAAATGCGCGTCAAACACTCATATTACGAACGCCCAAGTGTGAACCCAGCCTTCCAGATTTCAGTTGCACACAGCAGTGGAAAGATTCACTTAGGGCTGCAGTAGAGTTTGCACATATGTATATATATATATATATAAAGATAGATTTTTTTTAAGGCTTTTAATTGTTGCGGGGTTGTAACAAAACCCCTGTTCTTGGTTGTTTTTAGTTGTGTTGTGTGCACTGTGCAAAAATGTACAGCCTGAAGATGGCCTTATTATATTAATCTTTCTTTCAGTGATGCCTCCAGCGTGCATGTGATCATGAAGTCATAGCTGACCTAGTGATCACATGATTTGAAACCTCTGATTGTCCGAGAACCCAAGTGGTCACTACCAGTCAAGGTTGAAAGCATTGTGTCGGCTGGGGACATTTATAAACCTTTCCCCAGTATGGGGCATTTTCCTGGGGGATTTTTATTTAGAGATTGTGAGAGGTAAGGGGTCATATTAGACCTTATTAGCCCCTGTGGCTGAACCTGAAAGGATAAAGGGTTTATTGGTTTGAAAGGCTTAGTACGCAGCAGCACTTATCTAGAAGATGATGGCAAAATCAGCTCAACGTGGGGCTAAACAAGAGAAGTTTGAAGCGTGTATGGCCAGATTTATTCTGTTTTACTCTTTTATAGGAATAATTAAAACTTAAAATAACACAACAAGCATAAAACTGTAAAAAATAAAAGTAATGATTGCATATTCATTTCACTTTAATGCTAATAATATTCTTTCTATTTAAACTGAATACTCTGGTTTATTGAAGCTGAACAAGTAGTTAGTATTGTTTACGCTGCAACGCTGGCTGCGAAATTTGTATAAATGACAAGCTACTCTTGGATGGCCAAGAACTGATGGCGTGTTTTTTTTGTTTTTCTTCTAGGTTAATGATGGGAAAATTTGGTACGCAATATTTTCTTCTAGTTACCTTTTTTAATTTACCTGTGGATGTTTTCTGTTACTGTATGTCTCAAGTGTAGAGATTCCCCTTCACTTCCTATACTGGTAATACTCACACAGTGTCTCCTAGACATGAAGTCTGAGAAAATCTCCCCAAATGGGGGCACATGCGGAAATAATATCCTAACAAGTGTTTGCATTCCTTACCACTAAGTTAAAATTGTTTTTCCTGTAATTTGTGTTGTCATTGGAAAGATTTGCCCTCTTTTCTTCTCCCAGTGACAAGGGAACGGGAAATAATGGGGAATATCTATGAAAAGCACAGGTGTCAAAAATCTGACACAGGTTCCAACTTTTCCTGAGTCTGTCCAAGATGACAAACGCATTTTTTGTGCTGGATATTGGGAGGTAACGTGTATGTAAACAGTGAACCTCTCTTATTTGTTCCCTTGGTCTGTTAAATATCCCATTAAATGTGTTTTGTTATATCTGTTTCATAAGAGCTATAAAATACACGTTGGTCCTGCCAGAAATCTTGTAAATGAAAAACTTCCTGTGCTCTCTGCCTCTGCTACATTCTTACCAATTACACTGTTCCTAGATCTCTGTGGACTACAGAACATCTCCCCCCCTATGTTATGGAAGAGAGGTGGATGTGTTCTGTATTCCTGTCAAAGGGTGACCATGCGGAGAAACTTACATCTCCCATTCTTCCCCTCTCACCAGAACGAGATGCGTTTGACACTCTGTTTGACCATGCTCCCGATAAACTGAGCGTTGTTAAAAAGGTAAGAACCTCCTCTTCATTCCAAGACCACGGTGTGCTCCTTAAAATAAAAGCATCAATTGAACAGTTGTGTGCTCCATTTGTCTTGCAGTCGCTGATCACTTTTGTGAATAAACATCTGAATAAGCTGAACCTGGAGGTGACAGAGCTGGAGTCTCAGGTAAATTTGGGCAGGCAGTGCTACACAGTGGTTGTGCTAGCCAATGAATCGGTGTAATTGCACTCAGCCATTGGGAGCTCCCTCTTGTAGCAAGTCTACAAATCTCTATAGTTTATACAATTGCAACAATATGGGAGAGCAAGCTTTTTAGATGAAAGTCAGTTTAAAAATAAAGGTAAACACAGCAAAAAGAACTACAAATAAGAGCTCACTGACCATACACTGAAAATACACTGTTCGGTCCCTTTAACAAACCTTGAAAAAAAGGTGAATGTCCTTTATTTGACATTACTTTACATCCGGTCTTATTCTTCCTATTCTGTCCTCAGTTTGCAGATGGAGTTTACCTTGTCCTTCTGATGGGACTTCTGGAGAATTATTTTGTCCCTCTGCACAACTTCTATCTGACACCAGAGGAATTCGAGCAAAAGGTAAGTCGGGGCACGTACAATGAGCCTTATAATGTACGACACACACATCTACATACTGTATATGTGTATATTTATAGACTGGTAGATAATGGTAGACCGAAAAGATCGATATTGATAGCGAGAGGAAGAAAGATATTGATAGAGAGAGGAAGAAAGATATTGATAGAGAGAGGAAGAAAGATATTGATAGAGAGAGGAAGATAGCTACCGATAGAGAGAGGAAGATAGCTACCGATGGAGAGAGGAAGATAGCTACCGATGGAGAGAGGAAGATAGCTACCGATGGAGAGAGGAAGATAGCTACCGATGGAGAGAGGAAGATAGCTACCGATGGAGAGAGGAAGATAGTTACCGATGGAGAGAGGAAGATAGTTACCGATGGAGAGAGGAAGATGTGTAGACATATACATCTATAAACATTTTTTTTTACCTGCAGGTTCATAATATTTCCTTTTCATTTGAGCTGATGCAAGATGGTGGACTGAAGAAACCTAAAGCAAGACCAGAAGGTATGAAGTGTTTATTTTTAACACTCAATATAACAAACATCTGTGCATATTAACAAGGCCGCTAGTGAGGAGACAACACAAACCCATTATGCTTAATCAGAGGGCAGGGATGACCTACAAAGTGTGGTGATTTGTAGAAGCCAAGAGACCAAAGGTGTTAGGAAAATCAAAATGTGACAGTTGTCGCCAAAACAGGAATAGAGAGAACTTTTTCTGATGGAGATCACTGTTAAAGGTGGGATTTTCCCATACTTCTCTGTGTGTCCTATGGGATAGAAAGTGATAAGAGATCTTCCCAATGAGAAAACAAATAAAATCTTAAAGTGGTTCTGATCTTCATTCTGTCCAGAACTAGAAAAGTGATTTTGCTAGAGCTCTACTTTAAGCCCTATACACAAAAGACTCAACTGTTCTTGATGCACACAGCATCTAATTATTGTCTTAGAAAATCCATATGCAGCAGGCATCAAGAAGTGGTCTTCCTTCAGAAACTTTGATTAGAAGCTAAACGGGGCCCGGTACCTTTTCCTGGCACCTGTCAGCATTTTGTCCCTGAGGTGCCTGTATGCTGAAGAATAAAATTATGCCTTAAATTGGAGTCCTTATACTGGCTTTGCACATTGCCTTGAAGTGAGGAGAATTATAAATCAGCGTGATAATGGACTCTGCTTCACAACAAAGCCTGACAAGTCAATTTCCAGCCCCCTTGAGAGTTAGACATTATATTTGACACCGTGGCGTTTTTTGATTGGCCCTTGCCTGTTACCATGGTTACGGCACTTTAAGTATTCCTTGCCTGTCAATACAAACTTTTAAATCTTGCTCTCCATGTGGAGGTCAGTATTGTAAAAATGTGGAGTTATTGATTCATTTGGTACCTAATTATAGGGTTTCTATGGAGAAAATCCTGTATTATCATGCTTTGAGGCTTATTGGTTTCACCTGAGGTTTTAGGTACTGCGTAGGCCAAAACCCCAGCTGCCTACAGGCTAATAAAATAGTTTTTTGTTTTTTTAAATGCAATTACAGTCAGCTCAGGTATATTATAAATTCTAATTATGGGGCAATGAGGCCAAGAATGTTGATATTTTCCTTAGTGGATATAGTGCTGTTGAAAGGTTTATATTGTGAAATAAGGTTCAGAATGGTACTCAGTGGAGAGATCCAGATTAATCTCTTATATGCATTTCAGTAAATCAATAAGTATCACAATCTGTTTTTAAATAACTATGATTTTTTTTTTTTAAATGGTTATTGCGTTTTAATAAGGAGCTAGCGGAAATCACAAAACACAATCCAGTTTTTATCACTTTGCCTTTCAATCAGAGAAAGATTAGCTTGCACTCCAGGACTCGCAGTGCAGGAAACAATAGTCTGTTCTGAACCCCCCTCCACCCTGTGCTGTCCATCATGATGATTGACAGCACAGATTATTCATAACACTGGATGCTCTCAGGTTTTCTTTTATGGATTAGGACCCATTTAGACCTATGGGTTGCGATAATTTTGAGTGGCACCAAACCAACGCAGCTTACTTTGCAACATAGAGCACAGTAGCACACTGCCATGTGTTGTGGTGTGATGCTTTGGGAACAATCGTGCAGATCTTATTTTAGGAGAATGAATGGGCTGCCTTAACACAATGCATAACATAAAGCACGTGTAATAGCAAACCACAAAGGGCTAGATAGGCTTGAATTGCATGCCTCACTATTGCATAGTAAAACCTGCTTAACTGCACCTAGGACAACAGGCCATGTGCCTAGAGCTCAGTGGTCACAAAGTATTAGCAGTCTCCTACAAGGAAACTAGTCCATTTACAATTTTTTAGATATATGTAAATGTGATCCGTTTAATGTATATCATCTTCTCAGTCTTTAAAGTGACTAAAAGAGATTTTTTAACATAAAACAATACTGTAATGTGTGCCTTACTGTAATCCATGGTTGTTTCCCTTCTCTTTGCTGCTCTTCCTTTTTAAATCTGTATCTGTTCTCATGCTGGGCAGAACTTCTGTTTTGCAGCAGACTGCCTTGTCTCTGAAATGGATACATGGGGGGGGGTGATTTACTAACCTAAACACACGCACGCACCAGGTGCGTGTGATTTTTACACAGCAAAGCGTATTTATCAACCAAAAAGTCTCTATAAGCATATTTCCACTAATGCGATATATATGGAAAAATCATGCACATGATGCATATATAATGCTGCTTCACAGTTTAGACAAAAATGGTTAGCTCATGCATTTACATTCCTGCATTCATCAACGCAAGCAACACAATGTAGAGCTAATTTAAACAACATCACCTTGCAATTCAGGGCAGGGCTTTGCACAACACACCTGCTGGGTGTGTACACACTACAAAGGTGTTTAGATTCCACCCATAGATCATGCTGGGAGGGAACACACTACAGAGTTGTATACATGTTCGTGGTGTGTTTTATAAGGTTAGTAAATCAACCCCATGGTGTCTATGTGTAGGTTTGCAACCTGAGCCAGCACTACAGGAAGAGGCACTCAGCTGCATAGGGAAGTTCTCCCCAAGCATGAGAAGACATGAGGATTTAAAAGGAAGAGCAGCATAGAGAAGGGAAACTACAATGGATTACAGTAAGGCACACATTACAGTATTGGTTTATGTTAAAAAATCTGAGGGTTTAATGTCACTTTAACAATTGTCTACTTGTAGCTTCTAATTATTATGTTTGTACATGGGAGAGGCCATATTTGTTCAATAAATATGTAGACTCTGCTTCCAATACATTAGTGATGCACAGTGACTGCTCCAGGTCTGACCTGGCTGAAAACAGACTACCATCTTATGAGTAGTCATTGAAGTAGATGTAAACTCTGATTTAGATTACTAAAGCACTGTGCAGTGTTAACAATTGCCATGCTTTTGGCATTGTCTGTTTAAATGTCTACTTGTAGTCTCCACCAAAGTCCCACGTGAAAGGGTGACCCCACAGGAACACAATTGGGAGACAGGGACTGAGCATTAAACAGAGATATCCCCTGCACACCATACAGCAATGGAGACCAATTGTTCAGATAGTGGTTGTGCTTGTAGTGATGTCCACGGATGGTGCCGTGCGTATCCGAGGTTTTAGCAATGAAGATTGACAGCACTCAAATGATGAGATAAATCCAAGTGTTCATTTATTCAAAGAAGCATGTCACAAGTGTCAAACAGCCAAGTTTGACCATTGTGGCATGCTTCTTTGAATAAAAGAACACTTGGATTTATCTCATCATTTGAGTGCTGGTGATCTTCATTGCTAAAACCAGGGACTGAGCGTTGTTGCCATATAACAGGAAGTGCCTGGGTAAGGACCTTTTTGGAAGGATCACCAGGGATTATTTAAATGAAAGCTGCAGACCGGAAATATAGAAAGTATCTATATCTGTTACACCCCAGGGACGGTCTATAAAGTGAAAGATGTTTGTTTTCCTCTCCTTACAGACATTGCTAACCTGGACTTGAAGTCGACACTAAGAGTGTTATATAACCTGTTTACAAAGTACAAGAATGTGGAGTGATCCACCGGTCAGAAAAGGCCAGTCTGCAAATCTTCCCTGTGCCTTATGTCTGCCATTCTAAAGTTACACATTGGATATCAACACGGAGACTTCCGTAGATCAGAGCCACTTCTTTGTACATAAGAACATTTCTCTAAAGAAACCCATTTGGACTACATATTATGTGGCACCAGAAGCATCCATATGTTAGTGTATGTTTTCAGTCTGTCCCTGGGTGTGCCTTAGGGCTCCCTTGTAATACACTGAGGCTGTCCTTCTAGCAGCTGTCATTTGGAAAGCGGCCTCCTGCCTGTGAAGGGAAGTCTCCCCAGCAGGACACTGACAAAAGAAAATAACCTGATGGGTTTTTACCCTTCCCTACTCTATCCAAAAGTAAAAGAAAATGTTTACATACACTTTAAAGCCCAGTTTGTTTTTTTAATGGGGGAAGGGTTAGAACTGTGCTCTCCTTATGGAGATTTGTCCTCACTTCCTGTGCTGGGGTCACTGTGTTAAGAAATGAGGAAAAATCTCCCCAATAACTGTTGTATTGCTGTTGGATAGATTTCCTCTTATTTTCTATCTAGGTGTCAGGCAGTGGGGGAATGAGGAAAACCTCCTCAGTGGGGTGGACACACTGCATTAAAAACCTTTGGGGCGGAGGTATGGGGGGTTTAGTAAATTTGTGATTTTTTTTCTTGGCATTTTGGACAATCTGTGCTACAGTACATTACATACTGTATGTAACCATCCCCGAGCTGTACCAAATGGGAAAAAGTTGGTGGGCTTTAAAGCTGAACTCTTAGCCTTTGCACAGTCGTCCCGGCTCCTCTCCTCTCCTCTCCTGAAATTGCTTACTCTGATTTCACTGCACACTGTGAGCTTTTCACAATATGCATTAGAAGCTTCAGCAAGTCATGCACTCCTTTCCTGACTGGAGGATATCTGTCTGACCCTGGCCTGCCCCTTTCATTCATTAGATTTCAGTTTTTAACCATGGTAGGCTCAGCAGCACATGTGATCTTCTTGCAGATACTCCACTCCTGCAGGACTGGCATCCACCCATCAAGGCATTTTGATATTTGCATATGTCCACCCAACAGCCATCCCACTGCTTGCATTAGGCCTGAGGGCTCTTGAGTACTGAGACAGGGAACTGTGATGTTTTTAGGAAGCTATGCACGTCACCCTGCTGGCTCCTCCCACCAACCATGTTCTGTCTGCATTGGATAGAGAAGCACAGCGACCATGTGATGCTGTCGCTGGGTCTAAAATAAGGTCTATAATGAAAATGGAAAGGTTTTATTTAAACTTTTCATTAGCTGATTGAGGAGGAGGAAGGGAAGAATCGGGGAAGGCAGAATATAAGCAGATTATACTTCGGCTTTAAATGTTATTGACTTGATCACCCGAATGGCTATGCAACCCAGCCCAGTACCAAAGAATTAAATCTGTTATAAAAGGATTGAATAACAATGTTGTAGATTAACATGAATTAACATCAAACCTACAGGACTGAATTCTGCCCCCAGCTAACACACTACCAAAGACTTCCTATTCCACCGACAGAGCGGTTATGGAATTGCAGCTATTTGTTGGGGTTTAATGAAATGTTAATACGGAGTGTCAGTCTAGAGATCTGAAACTTTTATAGCAGTTTAGAAGTCGTTTGCAAGGCAGATTTTTAAACTGAACTCTGGGCAGATATAAGACGCATTAATTCAGCTTTGTATACTGAAATTTTCAAAAAATATAGATTTATTGTTTCAGTATTCAGAAAACAATTTTCCTTTTATCGGCTTCCTGCAGCCCCTGTACAGCAGAGCTCAAACTGGTAAAAGGAGGGGAGGAGAGGTAACACTGGGAGAAAATCAGGTGTGATGCATACAGATATGATGGCAAGGAACATGCTAATAGGAAAAGAGAGCAGAGTGAGCAGATGGATCAGCCGAGCAGCCTGCTGCTCCTTTTCACAGTAAGGTGTTTGGTGGAGAGGTGACAACACTGTATTTCAGAACTGTAAGTGGTGTCATCTGCCGGACTGTAAATCTCAAGACTCTATGAACAGTACAAATGCTTTGGCAGGTAAAACCTCTTCCTTGTATATATTTTATCTGTGTATTTAGCAGTTTGCCTGGAGTTCAGCTTTAAACTTACAGGAAGCTGGCATTTAGAGCAGTATAAAGGCTTCCATTGCTGACCTCTCCTCCTGTGAAGGCCACTTGCCTGGCTGTCTCAGGCTTCCATACTAACACAGAACAAATATGCAGACTTTTGACTTCACTTGCTGCATACTTTTTCCAGGTCAGTGACACTGAAAGTCTTGAAGCCAGAGACATGTATGTCTAGCATTTTCAGAATGGGGTCTGTATTGCCAGGCTACGGGGACCACACACAACCCAGTCTGAGCATCACCTGTGCCAATCATAGGGGGGCAATAATGAGCCTTTGTCTTTCATATGTGTTTGGTATCTTGCGCTGAGATTTTCTAGCTTGCCATTTGGCGCAAGCCTCATGCTTGTGGTCATCAATGTCTTGTGTTTGTGGTCCTCTGGCTAAGGAGCATTGGGGTATCATGTTTTCTCATAACTAGGCAGCTTATCGACCTTCCAAGATGCCAAAACTCTCTAAATTCCACCTGTAGAAAGAGCAGGAAGCCTGCACTGGTAGAAAATGTAGGCATCTGAATGAATGATCTTTGGCGCCTCGTTCAAGCCTTTACTGGCAATTGACCATTGAAGAATGTATGTTTGAAGTTCATGGGGCAATACAGACCCTTTGGAGGAGACCTTTAGCCATGGTGAAATTCCATGTTTTGGAGGGCTACCGTGACATCCCTATGCCTGTTCCCATAGCAACCATCTCTGTTTTCATCATATGTGAAGCTTGCCTGTCGGCAGGCCTGGTTAGCCAATGGATTCACAAGAAGCAGTTGGCATCATTGTAATGTTTCTAGTGAAGTGATGGGTTGAATATGTGGCCTTATGATATAATGGTAGCCACCAACATGTAGGGGTGACAGGTGCACTTTTTAAAAATGTAGCTAAAGGTTATACACCGTTTCAATACATTTATGCCACCTTGTCCTCCTAATGGTAAGTAAGGTTCACCTTCTTCCATTCTTCTTTATCCCCTATGCTGTGACAAGATTTTTAGGACTATTATAATAAAACACCAAAAGGCTTAAATCAACTTTGTTGGAAACAAAAATAGATTTTGCAGAAGTTCAACTTTTTAGCCAGCACACTGTCCCCATTTCCCTGTACACCTTATATTGCTTTAGGCACAACCTCACTGAAGAAGCCTTCATGAGTTCTATTCATTGACCTCTCTATAGTTCAGCTTCTAGGTTATAGTTCTCAGCTCCGCCCACTGGGGGTGTGCTAGTTTGCTATATGAAATGTTTTTGTTTTCTTTGAGATGGACAATCCCTTTAAGGAACTTCAGTATTTATTTGACCTTTTTTTTTTTTTGAAGACTTGAACTCATTCTTTTCATTGCAATATGTGTTTCAAACTTGAAAGAACATTAAATTGCATGTTGTTGTGTTGCGAGTCATTATATCTAAATTATACCAAAGAAATGGACATAACTGAAAGTAAAAGCTTTTGCTTGCCGCCTTACCGTTGCGCGTGTCTGGAGAAACATGTTAGACCGACTGTGTAGACCTACTGGTGTGTATGAGAGTTGGATTAACCTGTATTTAACCTGCTATTTATACCACTTGTTCTTGACTTTTTGTATTAAACATTCTTGTATTTATTACACATTTAACTCATTTGGATTTTTGTTCGATATGAATATCAATTTATTAAAATGTGCATTTCACAGTTACAAAGCGTTGTCGTTTCTCACTAACATTTACGCATCAGTTTTTTTTTTCCGGGCCCCCCCCCCCCGTTGACCCCCCTGTTTTATTGATCTTGCCAGTCAATATGCATTCCACTTCCTTTTTAACAGGCCAAATGTTCCAGCAAATGTTTGTTGCAGGGCTTGGGGCAAACCATTTAATACTGACAGGGGTGCTTACAACAGTCTGCTTTTAGTCATATGAAATCAGCTTAAAGTGAACCTTTACCCCTTTCACTAAAAATCATATCACTATGTAGCTCTGCATGCTGATATGAAATCGTGTTACTTTCAATAACTAAACAACATTTCTTTCTTTTACTTACAATTACTGTTTTTCCACTTTCCAGTCTACTTGGGCATTAGTGGTGTAATGACGTTGCATCCTCGGAAGGTTACATCCGCAGTGCATTGCTGGGAAATCCCATCTATAATCTCACAAGATCTCAGGTGAAGCCATTTTTCTTCCCTGAGATGAAGTGCATGGTCACATGTTCTAGTCACATGCCAGAGTTCCAGGAAGTAAACAGATGCATCAATCTGCCCTTAGTAAAATGTGTTTAATGTGAGCAGAATGGGGAGTAAAAATAAAGAATACAAAGCCGGCAATTATCTAGAAGTATGTGTTTGTCGATTGTCATTACTAAACATTTCTAAAGGTGCTTTGTTGTCATATAAAAGATATGGGTAAAGTTCCTCTTAAATACTTCCAGGAGCATGAAAAAAAAAGGTGTTTGAAGTCTCTTGGTTTGTCTCTGTTTTCTTCATCCTGAGTAGAAAAGCCTGTGCCCTCCCAGCATGCTGCAGAGAAGGAGCTTTGCTTTGTGTGGAAGCAGTGGTATCTCTGCAGAGGTCTTACACATCCCCTGCTAAGTCATATATCTAGAGCTCTCCAATTAGCATGAAGCACAAGGTTTGCTGATTGCTAGCTGCATTAATTGTTAACTAAATGGTTAACCAAAAAGTGTGATTCTAATTGTTCCCCATTTCATCCAAGGCTCAGATGTTTTGGCTTGATCTCTTTAATCAATAATTCTGTTTTAAAACGATAAAAGTCTTTTGAATAGGCAGGGGGATTTCTCTCTCTCTCTCTCTCTCTCTCTCTCTCTCTCTCTCTCTCTCGTGTCACAAGGCAAATCGTTTGGCTGGTTTCTTAAGGTGAAAGGTCATTCACATGTATCCATTGCAGTAACGTGTGGGAAATGGCAAGTGCAAATGCCAAAAGCACTGTTACAATGGTAAAGAACGCACCTGGACTGCAGCACAGCACAATGCACGTTCCATGCGTGTGCTGCATTTAAAAA